TGTGCTGGTAGTCGTGCGTACAGTGGTTTATGCTGGTAGTCATGTGTACAGTGGTTTGTGCTGGTAGTCGTGTGTACAGTAGTTTATTCTGGTAGTCATGTGTACAGTGGTTTGTGCTGGTAGTCGTGCGTACAGTGGTTTATGCTGGTAGTCGTGCGTACAGTGGTTAATGCTGGTAGTCGTGCGTTACAGTGGTTGTGCGGTAGTCGTTGTGTTCAGTGGTTTATGCTGGTAGTCGTGTGTTCAGTGGTTTGTGCTGGTAGTCGTGTGTACAGTAGTTTGTGCTGGTAGTCGTGTGTACAGTGGTTTATGCTGGTAGTCGTGTGTTCAGTGGTTTGTGCTGGTAGTCGTGTGTTCAGTGGTTTGTGCTGGTAGTCGTGCGTACAGTGGTTAATGCTGGTAGTCCTGCGTACAGTAGGTTATGCTGGTAGTCGTGTGTACAGTGGTTTATGCTGGTAGTCATGTGTACAGTGGTTTATGCTGGTAGTCGTGCGTACAGTGGTTAATGCTGGTAGTCGTGCGTACAGTGGTTTATGCTGGTACTCGTGTGTTCAGTGGTTTATGCTGGTAGTCGTGCGTACAGTGGTTTGTGCTGGTAGTTGTGCGTACAGTGGTTTGTGGTGGTAGTCGTGCGTACAGTGGTTTGTGCTGGTAGTCGTGTATTCAGTGGTTTATGCTGGTAGTCGTGTGTTCAGTGGTTTATGCTGGTAGTTGTGCGTACAGTGGTTTGTGCTGGTAGTCGTGTGTACAGTGGTTTGTGCTGGTAGTCGTGCGTTCAGTGGTTTGTGCTGGTAGTCATGCGTACAGTAGTCTTGTTGATAGTCGTGCGTACAGTGGTTTGTGCTGGTAGTCGTGCGTGCAGTGGTTTGTGCTGGTAGTCGTGTGTTCAGTGGTTTATGCTGGTAGTTGTGTGTACAGTGGTTTGTGCTGGTAGTCGTGCGTACAGTGGTTTGTGCTGGTAGTCGTGCGTCCAGTGGTTTGTGCTGGTAGTCGTGCGTTCAGTGGTTTGTGCTGGTAGTCGTGCGTACAGTAGTCTTGTTGATAGTCGTGCGTACAGTGGTTTGTGCTGGTAGTCGTGCGTACAGTGGTTTGTGCTGGTAGTCGTGTGTTCAGTGGTTTGTGCTGGTAGTCATGCGTACAGTAGTCTTGTTGATAGTCGTGCGTACAGTGGTTTGTGCTGGTAGTCGTGCGTACAGTGGTTTGTGCTGGTAGTCGTGTGTTCAGTGGTTTATGCTTGTAGTTGTGTGTACAGTGGTTTGTGCTGGTAGTCGTGCGTACAGTGGTTTGTGCTGGTAGTCATGCGTACAGTGGTTTGTGCTGGTAGTCGTGCGTCAGTGGTTTGTGCTGGTAGTCGTGCGTACAGTGGTTAATGCTGGTAGTCCTGCGTACAGTAGGTTATGCTGGTAGTCATGTGTACAGTGGTTTGTGCTGGTAGTCATGTGTACAGTGGTTTATGCTGGTAGTCGTGCGTACAGTGGTTAATGCTGGTAGTCGTGTGTACAGTGGTTTGTGCTGGTAGTCGTGCGTACAGTGGTTTGTGCTGGTAGTCGTGTGTACAGTGGTTTATGCTAGTAGTCGTGTGTACAGTGGTTTGTGCTGGTAGTCGTGTGTACAGTGGTTTGTGCTGGTAGTCGCTGGTAGTCGTGTGTACAGTGGTTTGTGCTGGTAGTCGTGTGTTCAGTGGTTTGTGCTGGTAGTCGTGTGTACAGTGGTTAATGCTGGTAGTCGTGCGTACAGTGGTTTGTGCTGGTATTCATGTGTTCAGTGGTTTATGCTGGTAGTCATGTGTACAGTGGTTTATGCTGGTAGTCATGTGTACAGTGGTTTATGCTGGTAGTCATGTTTACAGTGGTTTGTGCTGGTAGTCGTGTGTTCAGTGGTTTGTGCTGGTAGTCATGCGTACAGTGGTTTGTGCTGGTAGTCGTGAGTACAGTGGTTTGTGCTGGTAGTCGTGCGTACAGTGGTTTGTGCTGGTAGTCGTGCGTACAGTGGTTTGTGCTGGTAGTCGTGCGTACAGTGGTTTGTACTGGTAGTCGTGTGTACAGTGGTTTGTGCTGGTAGTCGTGCGTACAGTGGTTTGTGCTAGTAGTCGTGCGTACAGTGGTTTGTGCTAGTAGTCGTGCGTACAGTGGTTTGTGCTAGTAGTCGTGCGTACAGTGGTTTGTGCTAGTAGTCGTGTGTACACTGGTTTGTGCTGGTAGTCGCTGGTAGTCGTGTGTTCAGTGGTTTATGCTAGTAGTCGTGTGTACAGTGGTCTGTGCTGGTAGTCGTGTATACAGTGGTTTGTGCTGGCAGTCATGCGTACAGTGGTTTGTGCTGGTAGTCATGTGTACAGTGGTTTATGCTAGTAGTCGTGTGTGGTTTTTGCCGGTAGTCATGTGTGGTTTATGCTGGTAGTCGTGTGTACAGTGGTTTGTACAGTGTTGGAGCGCTATCTCTTCTTCTGTGGTGGTTTTTGTACAGCTGCTAGCAAAGCAAAGATCGCTGTGATGCTTTCGACTACTGGGGAAAAGGAACCCAAGTCACCGTTTTGGGTAAGTCTTCATTTCATAAATATGGGCTAATATAGTCTTCGACTTATTCTAAATGTATATGGGTATTTTTGGCTCATTTTCTTTGTCCGTTTCAGGTTAACTGAGGTAAACATTGGTAGAAATATAGATGAACGCAAGTTATATCATAAATCTGACGTTTACTAAATTACGACAGTAGAGCTTCAGTATTTGCCGTCTAATCAGCTCATATATGTATATTTAGCTACTAAATATGCTTCGTGAACTGAATAATGATTGAAAAACATTTAGCTATAACGTAATGTTATATGAAAATTGTACAAACGTGCCGCTGTCTGGAAACTGAATTATAGCACAGCGGCAGAATCAAAACTTCGTCGATATATTTACAAAAGCCTTCTTGCGTGCACGAAACATTGGTTCATTCAGTTCATTACACGCTTAAAGTGTAAAAATATATGTAACAATACATATAAAACAATGCAATACATAAAATAATATGGAGCGAAAAATGTTATAACACGTACCACAAGTGCGTTATTATTTAATACATCCTTTTCAGAATGTACTAATATCGCAAATGCCTTAATAATCGACACCCTAAAGTTATTCCGTGTTAAACTTTTCAAACACTTTCAAACTTTAAAAACATAAAAGGTCATTTGGAAAAATTTGATCGAAGTTATTGGGAATAATCGAGCTCATATATTTATGCATAAGTGATATTATACACTAAGGAGGGAATATGTAACGCCTTTATTCCGAAGCAAGATTTAATTATATGTTTAGAATTTGCAATTACAATTGCTATTTATTCTTATTCTTATTATTATTATTATTATTATTATTATTATTATTATTATTATTATTATTATTTATTAGGTTGTTGTTGTGGCAGTAGTGAATGAAAACCGAATGGTAATGAGGCAAAAGAAAAAATTATAATAAATGCGCTGTCAAGCCAAATTGTTAAGCACAGCTCTGTACATTGTAAAAAATGACGTCAGTTAAACTTAAAAAAAATTATGTGGTAAGAAGTAAATTAACTAGTTTTATTCAACCTAAATAAATACGTTGAATGAACGATTCTTTCAATGTAATTGAGTTGATGAGTCATTTTTACAATATAAACATGGTGATAAAAGTCTAAATCATTGTTCCTAATTTTCTTACATTTGGTTCCCGCAATAATGTGTCAAGACAAAGTAAGACTAGCAGTTTTTACTTAAATTTTTATAGACTGGACGTTTTTACCAACCGTATTTTTTTCTCAGTATCAGAAAAAAAATCCTTAATGTACGATGTAAAAAGTGGCTCGTCAAATCTGCTTAAAATTACTTCTTATGGCAAGTAAATTAACTAGTTTTATTCAAATCAAAAACTTACTTTGATTGAAAGAATCGTTCATTCAAAATATTTATTTAAGTCGAATAAAACTAGTTATTTTACTTGTTACTTCAGGAAGTCATTTTGTTTAGACTGATTCTATTTTTTACACTGATTCTGCAGCTACACATGCAATAATCGCCGTCGATTTAAAGCAATTATGATCTTTATATGACAGACAGAAAATTATAATAAAGAGTTTTCATCGTTGCGTAATTAAAGCAGAATTTTCACAAAATAAAATAGAACGATTTCAATTATACAAACAAGACCGACGATCGCTTGGTATACACGGTAAAAGACTCGCCAACTCAATCTAAAAAATACTTTACGTGGTGACAAGTAAATTAACTAGTTTAATTTAACCCTAATAAATAATTTAAATGAACGATTTTTTTTCAATGTAATTTTTTGAGTTGAATAAAACTCAATTGCTTGTTATTACATGAAGTAATTTTTTGACGTTGATCTAACGAGCGATTTTACAGTGTGTATTGTCTGTAAACCACATACACTTCGATTATAAAGAGACTGGCAATGACAAAAAAGGTTTGCACTGTAAAAAATCGCCAATTTAATCTAAAAAAATATTTCATGTGGTTACAAGTAAATTAACTAGTGTTTTCCAACCAGATTAAATATACTGGAATGAACGATTCTTTCAATCAATGTAATTTTTTGAGTTGAATAAAACTGGTTTAATTTGTTACTACATGAAGTAATCTGAGTAGTTTTAACAGAGTAGTTCAAAAATGCATAATAAACAATGATGAACAAATTTACTAACATCTTTAACCCTCCAGAAAAACAACATATAAAATTGTTACCTAACTGCGTCAAATACTCTGTATATACATATCAGGTACTTATAAACATCGAATGGGGTTAAACCTTTAAACTGACTCCACCGATAACAGGATTGTTATTTACAATTTTTCTATTTTTAAATCTGTTATCTTTTCTGTGGTTTCAGTACTCGTTTAACTGAGCTCTATTTCAGGAAAGGAAATGCCAGTGTCGATTCTCCCTGTGAAGGAGTGCTCCAGTGCCAGTCACTTCCAGCTTGGCTGCATCTCCACTGGGCTTCAAACAGACTCGTCCTTTGAGTGGTTAGATAACAATAAAAACAAGCTGACTAACTTCATTCAGTACGCTGCTCTACCGAGAGACGGAGCGTACGCTAAAGTGAGCGTCATTAGCGTGGCGAAGGATGACTGGGACAAAGGGAAACGATTCACATGCAAAGTGGGCAACGAGACACTCAACATACCAGGTAAAACACATAACTACACTTTTAAAAACTGATCAAGTCGACTGTTTTAGAGTCGTTTCTACTACATATTTTGTGGTCCTAAGCGGGACCACCATAATATTTCATTCATTTTGAATAAATGCAGAATAAATGTTAATGTACCACAGGTGAAATAATTAATGTAATAAATATGCAGACACACTTCAATAGATAATTATGATCTCAAAGCAAAATATTATGTATACAGTCACATGCAAAAGTTTGAACACTTACAGTCAAATTATATGTTTGGTTTAAAATGAAAATACGGTAGCACATCCTCTCAAATATGTCATTTTCTGCTAATTTTAATGTACAAAATCTATGTATTTGCTGAATTTAACAGATTTGAAAAAGAAACAAACACAACATAGTAAATGTACCTTAACTTTGGCACGTGCAAAAGTGTTTTCAATATGTTAATTTCAGGAAATAAATCATAACTGAGTGGTAAAATGTGCAGACGTGTGTTCTCTCTAGAGGATGTGAACTTAATCTCATTTAGAAAATCAATACAACCTGTCATTTGACTATAAGGCGCCCAAAGGTTTGCATAAGAATGTACCAATTTATGATTGGCTTTTAAGAGGCCTAAAAAGACTGCTTATACTACTTTCAGCAACCCAACTTAAAAAATATGGTTCTTCAAGGTTTCTTGAGTAAAAACAATGGTTTTCTATAGAACCATGAACACTCAAAGCACTATTTGCATATAGTGCCAAAAAGGGTTTTGCTATGGTTACAAGCTTGACAACCCTTTTTGGTGCTAAATAGAACCATATACAACACCATCAATGTTCTCCATCAATCTTATTGTTTTTACAGAGGACAAAAAACCAAGCGTCAATCTGGTGAAAGTTTCTGATGGTGAATCCATCATGTGCGTCACTGAGGACTTCTTCCCAAAGGACTTCACCCTTAAGCTGAAAGAGGATGGTCAGGAGGTTGCTGGTCTGAACTGGCCAGCCATGCGCAGTACTTCAGGCTTGTATACAGCCGGCAGCCTTCTTAAAGTCAATAAGGCATCATGGAAGAACGCAAAGTACAGCTGTGAAGTAACCCATCAGAACAACATCTACACACAATCTCGATCTTTCACAGGTAGAGTCTTGATGGTGATATAGTTAGGATATACATGCATTTCAGTGTGATACTATGAATAAATTAATGAATCTATTAGTATGAAAATTTAGGTGCCTAATAGTAAAATGTTATGTACATATTTAATAAGATTTTAAGCCTGTTTATGTTCTATTTCCTGATGAACAACATGCTGGTTTGTATTCCTCTATTTAGGTAAATTCACTGTGGAAATCAAACCACCTGGAGCAAAAGACCTGTTTATACATAACAAAGCAAAAATAGAGTGTGTTATCAGTGGAAGTAATAAGGTGGAGGTGGAAGCAGCAAAAGTGTTGTGGACAGTTGGAGGCAACGAAGCTGAAAAGAGGAACATCATTGATGGTGTGGTTGAACCTGAAGAAGAGCTGCATATGAAGACCAGCACGCTGACCATTGATGAGTCCGTCTGGTTTGCAGGCACAGCAGTGAAATGCTCCACTACCAGAGACAAAGATACATTCTCTGACACCATTAGCTTAACAGAAGGAGGTAAAGTGTTTATCTTATTACCTTTTAATTGTTTCTTTCTTTTTTCCTCCTTTGTTCTGACTTTGTTCTCTTTCGTCTTTCTTTTTTCCTCATCTTCTCTCTTCCTTCTGTCTTTCTTTCTCCTTCAAGCTCCTTCAAGTTTCTTTCAGGAAATGCAAGAATAGTTTTCCTAACACATTTCATCTATTAAAATGTGCAGCATTTCAACTCAATAGGTTTCTTGCTTTTCATCAATTATTGCAACAAGTTATTTTCTCTTTAATTCCTCCTTTTCTTTCTTTCTGTCTTTGTTTCTTCTAGTTTTCTTCCTTCATTTTGTCCTTTCTTTCTTTCTGTCTTTCTTTCCTTCTTTTATTTCTTTCTTTCCTTCCATTTTCTTTAATCCTTCCTTAATTTATTTATTTTTTCTACCTTTATTTTGTTCTTCTTTTCTTTATTTATTTTTACATTCTTTCTTTCTTTCTTTCTTTCTTTCTTTCTTTCTTTCTTTATTCTTTCTTTTTTCTTTTTCATTTTTTATGTTCTTCTATGCGTATGTTCTTCCTCATTTCATTCCTTACTTAATTTCTTCCTTTCTACCTTCTGCCTTTTTTCTTCTTTCTTTTTTTATTTGCTTACTTGCATCCATTTCCTTTCTTCCTTCCTTTTTCATTTCTTTCATTATTTCTTTTCTTCCTTAATTGTGTCCTTTCTTTCTTTCTTTCTTTCTTTCTTTCTTTCTTTCTTTCTTTCTTATTTCATTCCATTTGGAATCTGTCACTCATTACTCATAACTGTTATTTCATATAATATTTGGCATTGTCAGCACTGTATTCCCTCCAGGAAATATACTTTGCTCTGACATGTTCATTACATTTTTCATTTGGTGTTTTCTCTTAGACGACAGCTGCTCTCTTCAGATCTATGTACCTAAGAAAGCTGTTCTCGACACTGAGAAAATCTCTCTGGTGTGTGAGGTCAACAGCTCTCGTCTTGGGGATGTTTACATCATGTGGCAAAAGGGCCAAAATCCTAATGATCCTTTTGAAGAAGGCAGCATCACAGCTCCCATCTACAAAAACGGATCTCCCATGTCTGTTTTAAGCGTTTTTACAGTGACTGGAAAGGAGTACAACAGTGAAATGGTCTTCACTTGTGCGGTCAAGCATGCCAATATGAAGAATCATAGCACACCGTTAAAGACAACAGCATCTAACAGTAATGACAACTGTCCTCGTTATGATGTGTCAGATTGTCGCTGAGCGTCTTCTCAGACTGAGATGGTCAGGAAGCATCACTGCAGCTGTATCTGGCTGATTGAGATGCTTCCTCACTTGAATGGTCTGAGATGCTGTTTGTCATGATGCCTCCTTTGTGTCATGTACCTCTGTGTTCACTCATTCAGTGTATTATTATGTTGCATGGGCCATCATGTAAATCCAGTCAAAAAAACAAACTTGAACATCAACTGTTACTATTCACAATGATATTATAGCAATTCAGTATGAAAATAAGAACATTCCATATACTTTACATACTGGCCTCTGCATGTTTCATGTTACATGTCTTGGATGGACATTGTTCTGCTCTGTCTTAAGCTTTCTGTGTTTTTGTTTATGATCTGCTCATGTTAACTTTTGTGTGCTTGCATAAAAGTAGAATTAGATTAAGATTTAAAATATTTTAAGAGCTTTTCTGGAAAGGTTACCTGTCTTTGTGATACGAGTTATATTTCTCTTTTTTGTAATGCTTGAAATAATAAATCGGCACAGCATTTGACAACATATAGTCCTGAATCATGAATACTGGTCATATTTTCTTCAAAGCAAACTGAAATGTGTGAATCAATATAATGTAAAATTTAATCACTCTATCAAATGTTTACATTAAAAATAGCCATTTGCATTGAAAAGAGTTGAGAAACATCATTTTCCATCGGTATACAGTGCTGTGCAAAAGTAAGGGACCATCCTTCATTTATTCAATTTCTAGTAAAATGGCCATTAAATAAAAGTTATTAATTTTTCACCAGGAAAAAAGTATAAAACAGCAGAAAATAACACAGAAGCCTCAACAATCAAAAATAATATTATTTTTCAGTATTCAGTGTGTCATTCTTTAGCTTTATTACACCTAACTTTCAGTTTCTCAAAGAAATCTGCAGCCACACCCCCAAAGTTCAGTCTTAGAAATTGGTTTGGCACTTTCTGTTTCTCACAATCCAAATAATCCCAAACACATTCCATGACATTGAGGCCTGGACTCTGGAGTGGTCAGTCGATTGTTCTGAGAATATCAGCAGCATCTTTGCTTGCTTTACAAATTTTCTTCTTTTCTATTTCCCTCATCTGTTAATTATTTTTGTGCTCCAGTTTTGGAAAGGCTTCTTTTTCTTTGACTTTTCCCTTCCACATGCAAGTGGATCAACTTGGCGGCCTTGTTGACTGGAAATAAAATCAGTGAAGGGGGTCTCAGACTTTTAAACAGCACTGCATTAGATGTGAAAGTTACTGTTTCTGTTATATTCATTTATTTAGCAGTAACATGAGCTGTTTTTTCTGTTTTCCTTTTTTGCTGGTCTTGTTCTGCACTATTCAATACCACAATGTTCTACAAGAGGCACCATAAATGGACCACTTTTGGTTCCCTAATGATCCATGTTTGAAAAAGAGATTTAAGAATGTGATGAACCTTTCAAACAACTTTGTAAAGGTTCTATACCAACTTAGAGTTCCTTCTTAGGACTTTTACATTATGTGGAGGTTCTTTAAACTTTACAAAGCTTCTTTCCACTTGCATTTTGTCTCATTTCACAAAACGATTCTTCAAAGAATTAAAGGTCTTTCAGGAAACCAAAAGTCAAAATATGGGATCTTATGTTGTCATGCTGAGAACACTTTGTGGAATTAAGATTGTAAGCTTTTCTTGTTCTTGTAAACAACTAACTCTTGTTAAACTTTGGGATCTTAAATGGGAAATTTCACCAATTTTTCAAAACATTTGTATTTTATAATGGTTAAGATGTAAGCAAAGTCCAAGCATTAGAAATATGTTTTAAGATTAAATCTTCGTAAAATTAATAAAAAATAAATTCTCAAGCATCAAGAGGCATTAATCCGTTCAGACATCTGGTTCCCATCAACATCACTGTGAACAATTCTGAGTTGATAAGTTTCTATGGAACAAAGAAGTTCACATCAAACCACTCTTAACCACCAAAACTTATCTAGTTAATTATGTAGACATTTTGAAAAATTGGTGGAACTCTAGTAACAAGCAGTGGAACCATTTTCAAGGTCTATATTTCAATCAGTATATTTTAATAATTATTTTATTGATTTCATTTTTATTTGCTATATATAATCTGCCATTATGCCACATATAGATCTGTTTCAAATATTTATAACTATTTTATTGTGTGTTTTAGGTGAGATTCCAGATTCAGGATTGTATGTACAATGTGATGAGGTGACTTCAGAGGAGGATGAGTTCAACAGCTTGTGGTCCACTGCCTCCTCCTTCATCTTCCTGTTCCTCTTCTCTCTCCTCTACAGCACTGTCCTCAGCCTCTCCAAGGTAAAAATATATGGTTTTATTTTTTATGTTGTTTCTTTGTTTTGCAGCTCTTGGAATTTTGCTTCTCATCACAGGGTTGTTTGTTGTGCTAAAAGATGCTTCTTATCTGTGTTTTTCAGATGAAATAATGATCGAAAATGAGGACTAACTGGTCTGTATTTTGGATTTCCAGTGATATTCTTGTCTATTACAAGTTTTTAGTGATTTAAGTCATTGAATTGCCTATCAATAGTTTTGTGGATGTGTGATTTCATCTTAAAAGATATTTCAGAATGTCTTAGAATTTCTGTGCAGTTCAGTCACTGATATAAAGTCTTTCACAGTGGTTTGACATAAAATGGTTCATTGTAGAGAAACTTATCAGCTCAGATTTCTTTATAGTGGTGGTGATAGGAACAAATTATGCAATCTTTATGTGTAATGCTGATGGTGGTAAAATAGGAGATCAGACACAGCAGTGCTGCTGGAATTTTAAACACTGTGTCCACTCACTGTCCACTCTATTAGACACTCCTACCTTCTTGGTCCACCTTATAGATGTAAAGTCAGAGACGACAGGTCATTCGTAGATGCACAGTTTATGCTGGTCATTCTTTAGTCCTTATTCAGTGGTCTCAGGATGCTGTTGGCTGGATATTTGGTTGGTGGACAATTCTCAGTCCAGCAGTGACACTGAGGTGTTTAAAAACTCCAGCAGCACTGCTGTGTCTGATCCACTCAGACCAGCACAACACACACTAACACACCACCATGTCAGTGTCACTGCACTGCTGAGAACGACCCACCACCCAAATAGTACCTGCTCTGTGAGGGTCCATGGGAGTCCTGACCACTGAAGAACAGGGTAAAAAGGGGGCTAACAAAGTATGCAGAGAAACAGATGGACGACAGTCTGTAATTGTAGAACTACAAACTGCTCTTATATGCTTATATGGTTAGTGGTGCTGATAAAGTGGACAGTGAGTGTAGATATAAGGAGGTGTACGTGTTGAAGTGGCCAGTCAGTGTACAGTCATTATTGTTTTTTATATCTCCTCACTGCAGAACTGTCGTTTATGCAGTTTTGGCACATGCATGTGCTTTATTGTCTCTTTCTAAGCTCTGAACTGGTAATTATAGAATGGTTAGTTTGTGTTTTAAAGCAAGACTGAGGCATGTTAGAATTCTAAAATACTCAATATACACATTTGACTGCACAATTAATTATATTATGCATTGAGGTGCCGAAAGTTTCCCGCTATATAACAGCAGTAAGCCTCTAATGGCTGTGTTACTGGGATTTCACCCCTGCATTGTGTAAACCCATGCTAATGCAGGGAGTCTATTGGCTTCATGGCCAGATCTACCATATGGTTGACTTGGGTGACTGCCCAGGGCACCCAATACCCAGGGGCACCAAAAGGTTACTCCAAAAAGTTTTAAATGATTTTAATGATGTAACGATTTAGAATTTTGGAACATTAGATCAGCATAAACCAGCTTAAACTAGCATGGAATTCATGGTGGTTTGTTTCAGCAGGGAGGTTTCTCCCAAAAGAGTATTTCACATCAAACTACTCTCTAATTTAAATCTATAATCTAACCACACACCACAATAGTTAATCTAATAAACCAGCCATACGTGTCCCAAAAAGCATTATCATTACATAAATTTGATGGACAGTGACATCTGCTTTTTAATTTTGGCAACTTATTTGATGTGCACTGTAATATTGATGAGCTTCAAGAGCAAGCTGATGCCCTCTGCGATCTTAACAAGGCATTAGCTGAAGAATAACTCTGGTTCAGTTTCTACTTCAGCAAAACTATCCTAAGACCTTTTCAATAAGATTACTAATTATCAGTTGTTTTAAAAAATATATTATCAGTGGGTTCTTTACCTGGCCTTCTGTGGCTTATTGGTCTAATATCAGTGAAACCAATGAGCCTAGATAGAACAGTGAACAGCATGATTCAGCAAGTTCAGTGGACATTATCACAGTTATTGTGCATCATAAAATCTGCCCAATATGTTGTGACCTTGTTTTTGATATGATATGTGTTCACATCTTTTGTTTCGATGTTAATTATGTCAGTGTGAACTCTAAGCAAACCAGAACTAAAATGCAAAAGAGGATCATTTTCTGCTCTGGTGCAGACCAAGAGAACTGAACTACGGGTATAAATGCACCAAGCATTGACTGTGTGGGATGTCTGGTTCCTATCACCACCACTGTGAAGAAATCGTCAGTAACCCTGCTGGAAAAAACAACATAGACCAGCATGGGGGCTCCACAGCAAAACGAGCAGATGTTGTGCTTGGAATGATAGTCAACCAGCGTGGCTATGCTGGATGACCAGCTAAACCAGCACTAGACCAGCATAAACCAGCACTAGACCAGCATGGAATTCATGGTGGTCAATACTGTTTTTCTCAGCAAGGGAGTTTCTCCCAAACAGAGTATTTAAAGTCAAACTACTCTAAATAACTTTGTTTATGTGTTAATCATTTAATTATGCAGACAATTTGAAAAAAAAAAAAAAAGACTAGGGGAATATCTGGGGGGAAGTTCCAGTTAACCCTTTACTTCTTGCTGAATATTTCTAAAGATGTGACTGTGAATGGCATCCAAGTTGGCCAAGTCATTTTCCAGGTTAAACTACATGTCAAGTAGCCTTTATTACTAAAAGGCTATGTAAAATGTTTTTTTCTCTCTTTATTTTTTTTGAGTTTTGGCTGTTTCTTGGTTTACCTATATTGAAACACTTTGCGTTACATAAATGAATGCATTATTTATATATATAATAAAATAAGTAATAAATATGTATACACATATCTGTGTGGGTATATATATATATATATATATATATATATATATATATATATATATATATATTATATATATATATATATATAATTTTGTAATATAATTGTATGGAAAAGCTTTGGAAACTTCCAAATGTAATATCAAAAAAATGTAACATTGTAATTTTTTTTTCTGTAAGCTTTGTAATGTTTCTACTTGTTGCTTTTATTAAAGCTTCCATTTTTTCAGAAGTCTTGCTTTCAGTTTTTCCAAAAATATTTATTCCTACAACTTCAAACTCCAAAGACCATCTGCTCTTCTTTTCAAAGTTATTTCTTCTGAAATTATTTAGTGAATATATTGCAAGTAAAACCGTATAAACTATGCAGGGTCCAAATAACACATCCTAAACTTTCAGTTTTAGGCGACACCTTTTTTCCTACACTCTCTATATGCAGTAAAAACAGGTGCTGAGCTCAGAGGTCTTTTTAAAAAGTTCACTCATGGATCTGTTCTGCTATTATGAGCAAAAACAAGAAGTGAAACAGAGCCTGAGAAACAAGATGCTTGCACGTGTTAAATGTTGATCAACTAAAAGAACTAAAAAGAAGGAAAATAAAAACAAGGCAGAAGTGAAAGCTTTCTAGAATGTTTAGATGTAGGTGGACACAGTAAGTGCTTTGGATTATTAATTAATTCATTCATTACTTAATAAATATTTAATAGAAAATAGAGCATGAGCATCTTAGTCACTGTACCATTAGATTGAATGTAGAGCTGCAGTTCTTCTTGGTGAAGGATGTTGTTTTTGTCACTGCATGTATCACTGTGTACTATTATAGTTATGGCAACCACAGTGTTTTAAGCCATTACAAAAACCTGCTGTTAAGACTGAAGTACTGTAAACTAATGAAATGTGCCTGAGCTGTCGTATTTGTTACTTTAGCATAACTACAAAAGCAATATCAGTATAGAGAAATTCACAATGTCATTCAAACACACTCATATGATAAAATTATACATGAAATTTACACAATATATTGCAGGAGGAGAAGTTCAACAGTGAGTTCAACAGCTTGTGTTCCATCACCTCATCCTTCATCTTCCTCTTCCTCTTGTCTCTCATCTACAGGACTGTCCACAGTCTCTTAAATATATTTGGTAAATGTCTTTTTTTTTTGTTTTTGTTTCTTTGTTGTATTAAAGATTCTTCTTATTTGTGTTTTTCAGATGAGCAAAATGAAGACAATCTGGTTTCAGTTTTGTCAACCAAAAATCATTATTTCTCTCCTTTATTTTCTTTGTGTTTGTTGTATTTCTTGTAGTTTTGGTTTTAATTATATCTGAAATCTCTGTATTACCTAAATAAATTATACATTTAAAAACATTAATGATTGGTCAAACTGGACTATACTTCATGTGTCTTTCATTTTAATATTTAATTAATGAATCTGTATTAATATTTATATGATTTAACCATCTTTTGCTTATTTTACAAAAATAATTTAATTTTTAAACATAAAGAGCTTCTGAGATCATTAAACATATTAATGTAGCATCTACATGTAACATCTAAAAATATATAATATAACTTTATTCAGTAAGCTATACAGTGTGTCCACTCCCTTTATTACAGTTTCCATTCTTTGGAAACTCAGGAGAACTTCAAATTCCAAAGACCATCTCCTCTTCTTTTCAGAGTTATTTCTTCTGAAATTATTTAGTGAACATATTACAAGTAAAACCATATAAACTATGCAGGGCCCAAATAACACATCCTAAACTTTCAGTTTTGGGTGACAGCTTTTCTCCTACACTCTCTGTATGCGGTAAAAACAGGTGCTGAGCTCAGAGGTCTTTCTAGAAAGTTCATACACGGATCTGGTTGGCTATTATGAGCAAAAACAAGAAGTGAAACAGAGCCTGAGAAGCAAGATGCTCACACGTGCTTAATGTTGATCAACTGAAAGAACTGAAAAGAAAGAAAAGAAAAATAAAAACAGGGTAGAAGTGAAAGCTGTCTAGAAGGTTCAGATGTAGGTGAACACAGAAAGTGCTTTAGGTTATGAAATAATTAATTCATTAAGATTTAATAGAAAATAGAGCATGAGCTTCATAGTCACTGTACCATTAGATTGAATGTAGAGCTGCACTTCTTCTTGGTGAAGGATGTTGTTTTTGTCACTGCATGTATCACCGTGTACAGTGGGTACTATAGCAGCCACAGTGTTTTAAGCCATTACAAAAACCTGCTGTTGAGACTGAAGTACTGTAGACTAAAGAAATGTGCCTGAGCTGTCATATTTGTTACTTTAGCATAACTACAAAAGTAATACCAGTAT